AAAAAAAAAAAAAAAAAAAAAAAAAAAAAAAAAGAACAGAAATTAAAAAACAAAGCAAAAAAATGTGCTAACCTGAAACAACTTGGCAGGATTCTATGAGGCAGAGTTGAGCAGATCAAGTGAGAAGGTGGGATACACAAACCTTAAGAACATTGGAATTGGCCATTTACATACCAACAAAATTATAGCCTAACTCTGCTGGCCTTAGCCCTACACAAAAATTACCTTCTGTGGTAGGTGAATGCAAAAATACATACTCTTATAAGTTCACAGTTGACAGAGGTGAGGTACAAATCAATGACTTCCAGAATCAGGCTTCTTCAGAGGTAAATTCTGGGACAGGCTGTGTTTGCAACACAGGACAATAACTACGTCTCAGGGACCAAAATGAGCCTCAGGTGTTTGGGGCAATGCAAATTAAGAAAGAATGGTGAACAATGAAGAGAGAAAAAGAAAATCAAGATTTCAAACCTTTACAAAACTTGAAGAAATTGATTTTAGCCTGCCGTTTTAAAGAGCTGAATTCGGCACATCTTAGCATTTTGGTATTTAAAGGTGAAAGGGACTGTCTCACAGATGTGGACTGGCAGCCTTAGGGATTTAAGTGGTCTGTGTGTTGAAGGTCACATATACAGTAATGACAAAGCTAAAATCTAAAATTCTTGATTTCCAGTATTATGCCATTTTTACTATACCACAGCACCAGAATGTATAGCTTCTCTAAGTAATAAATATGTTTTATTATTTTTATTTATTTATTTATTTATTTTTAAATAAAAACAGGCCAGGAATAGTGACTCATGCCTGTAATCCCAGCACTTTGGAAGGCAGGCAGATCACTTGAGGGCAGGAGTTCAAGACCAGCCTGAGAAACATGGCAAAACTCCGTCTCTACAAAAACACTACAAAATTAGCTGGGCATGGTGTCATGTGCCTATAGTCCCAGCTACTCAGGAGGCTGAAGTGGGAGGATCACCTGAGCCCAGGAGGTCAAGGTTGCAGTGAGCTGTGACTGCGCCACTGCACTCCAGTCTCGGTGATAGAGTGAGACGCTGTCTCAAAAAATAAACAAACAAAAAACAAAAAGAAAACCCCCAAAACCACCACCAACAAAACAGACAAAAAGCAAAACAAAAAATGTTCCCCTGATTTCCACAGGTCCCCTTAGTGACTGTCAGGGCCTTTCTGAACAGAGAACTTAAAACTGGGCTCTAACCAATACTCACAGGTCCAGTCACCACTTTGATGCTGCTGTGGCTTCTCCTAATACTGAAAAACTCAACACCTCTAAAGGTGTACTATTGAGGTTGCTAAAAAAAATAATAACCACATCTACACTTGGAATTATGAAGCTGCTCTCCATGGTTCTACTTGTGGCCAAATGCAGTGGTGTACGGACAGGAGATGATCAGCGATCGGTCGTTGCTTACCTACAGACACAAGCGAAGTTGTGTTGTCTCCTTTAGTGCGACACACAGAGGCTGTTGGAAATCCAGCTGCTTTCAGAAACATGACGATGTGATTCTGCACTTCAATCAGGTCTGGATTCTTGCTAGTCTCGGTGTTGCTTATTTTGAGGACGTATTCAGTTGGGCCGTCTTTGGTTTTTGTGACGTAGACATGAAAGTTTTGGTCGTCATAGCTAGGAAGTGGCTGGACCTTGGAAACTTTCAGCCCGAACACTGACTCCACTAGCGCAGAAGCTTGTTCCTCACTGAAAGTGGGTTTACTACGAGCCTCTGACTGCAGATCATTTCCACTTGACATTATGTCTAGGGGAACAAAAAGCAACAAACAGAAAGGGGATATAGGATGAATATATTTATTTAAATGATTTTTCTCAAGGCAGACCAATAATGTTTCTATGGATTCTGTACTTCTTTTGATTATTCAGTTGTACTCATAAAGTTAAAAAAAAAATCAAATCAGTGAATGAGATCAAGAAGTAGATGTTTTGGGCTGGGGACGGTGGCTCACGCCTGTAATCCCAGCACTTTGGGAGGCCAAGCTGGGTGGATCACCTAAACTTGCTAATTCGAGACCAACATAGAAAAACCCCCATCTCTACTAAAAATACAAAATTAGCCGGCATGGTGGTGCATGCTGTAATTTCAGCTACGCAGGAGGTTGAGGCAGGAGAACTGCTTGAAATCCGGGAGGTGGAGGTTGTGGTGAGCCTAGATCATGCCATTGCACTCCAGCCTGGCCAACAAGAGCCAAACTCTGTCTCAAAAAAAAAAAAAAAAAAAAAAAAGGTGTTTTGGCAAGTGAATACAAATTCTTATAGGACAAATTATTAAACTCACCTCCTAAACGCAGACCAGGAAAGCACTTGGTATCACCTCATCCAACCTCTCCTCCTCATCATCAATTTTATAGGGGAAAATTTGGTCCTGAGAAGTTAAGTGACTTGCCTAAAGTTACATATTAAGTCACAGTAAGAATTCAGCTCTTGGGCTGCGCATGGTGGTTCAAGCCTGTAATCACAGCACGTTGGGAGGCGGAGGCAGGCAGATCGCCTGGAGAAAGGAGTTCGAGACCAGCCTGGCCAACATGGTGAAACCTCGTCTCTACTAATAATACAAAAATTGGCCAGGCCTGGTGGTGGGCGCCTGTAATCCTAGCTAATTGGGAGGCTGAGGCAGGAGAATCACTTGAACCTGGAAGGCAGAAGTTGCAGTGAGCCGAGATCACACCAGCACACTCCAGCCTGGGCAACAGAGTGAGACTCCGTCACACACACAAAAAAAGAATTCAGCTCTCCAGACTTCTAATCCATGATTATGTCCTTTTGACTATATTCCTACCATTTTAGGTTAAACAATAAATACAGTGATCTTTTATAGTCACAGTTTGGTTAAATTATAAGGATCATCATCTAATTTATAACATATATTTCAAAGATAAAAATGGAGATGCATGAGCAAAGTATTGTATGAGTCACTGGAGGAGATTAAGGCCACAGAACCAGTGAAAACCTGTATTAACTGTATTAACCTGAAACGACTGAATTAACACTGAAGTGACTGAGTTTACATTAAATTGTAAAAAAGCATAAAGAATATGCTTTCCACTGCTAAGAGGACTAGGGGCTTAAAATTAAGGTCAGTTACAAATAAAGTTACATTTGAGTTTGTGACCTATGAAATTAATATCTGCCAAAATTGTGACAGAGCTGAGAGGGAGAGAAATTACTACAGCCTAAGGAAAGACATCCTTGAGAAGGCAGATTTGATTTTTTTTTTTTTTTTAAAGATGGAGATCGGGGGTGGGGTCTCACTTTGTTGCCCAGCTTGGTCTCAAACTCCTGGCCTCAAGCGATCCTCCCACTTCAGCCTCCCAAAGTGCTAGGATTACAGGTGTGAGCCACTGGACCTGGCCTGAGTTGAATTTCTTTTTTTTGAAGCCAGGCCTTGCTCTGCCACCTAGGCTGGAGTGCAGTAGTGTGATCATGGCTCACTGCCACCTCAACCACCAGGCTCAGCGATCCTGAACCTCAGCCTCCTGGGTAGCTGGGAATACAAGAGCAGGCCACCACACCAAGCTAATTTTTTGTATTTTTTGCAGAGACAGGCTTTCACCATGTTGACCAGGCTGGTCTTAAACTTCTGAGCTCAAGCGATCTGCCCGCCTCAGCCTCCCAAAGTGCTAGGATTACAGGGATGAGCCACCACACTGGGCCTTGAATTTTCAAGTATGATTTGGATACATAGGGGAGGGAGGAGACTGTTTTCTTTCACGTGGTAATTCCACCCTGTGCTACCCATATGTGGTGTATTTCCTGAGCATCCAGGTACATATGAAAGACAATGTAGCGTTTCTGAACATCCTTCAGGAACCCAAATATTTAAGGTCCTTACAATCTCATTTTGTTTTCCCAAAATAGTTTTGTTCTAATCGTTCTTTCATACTGAGTTGTAAATAATTGATAACATCTTGAGGGTGAATTGCATTGTAGGGTATGTTTTGATTGCTGTTCAGGAGACGCAGTATTATATAAAAAGAATCTATAGGCTGGGCACAGTGGCTCATACCTGTAATCCTAGCCAGCACTTTGGGAGGCCACAGTGGGAGCATTGCTCAAGGCCAGGAGTTCAGGACTTGTCTGGGCAATATAATGAGATCCCTTCTCTATTAAAAATGAATGAATGAATGAATGGTTAGCTTTTGTGGAAAATGGAAGATCTGTTCCTTCTGATGGAGAAGGGACATGAGAGAACTTTCTGAGAGGCAAGTTTTCTATCTTTTGATTAGGCTTTGGTTACATGGCTTACATTTGTCAAAACTTAAAACTTAAATGAACTAGTAAGATCTGTGAATATCAACTTACCTTTTAAAAAGAAAGAACCCTTCTGAGAAATTGGCTAGAACAAGGAAGGTGAATCTTAGGACTTTCTTAGAACTCCCAAAAATCAGACCATATGCCTGTTAATGCCTAATTTCTTTGGGTCTGTCACAGCAAAAACCCACCTAATTCCAGTGAGGGAAAGGGGATAACTTTCAAGGAGATACACCAGTAATGTATGACCCCCTCCCTGCCTCAGTCCCAGGACTATAGCCTAACGACTCAAGTTAAGGGTAGGTCAAGCATAGTGGCTCATGCCTATAATTCCATCACTTTGGGAGGCCGAGGTGGTTGGATCACCTGAGGTCAGGAGTTTGAGACCAGCCTGGCCAACACGGCAAAACCCCATCTCTACTAAAAATTAAAAAAAAAATTAGCTGGGTGTGGTGGCAGGTGCCTATAATCCCAGCTACTCAGGAGGCTAAGGCAGGAGAATCACTGGAAACGGTGTGGGGGGGCTTGGGAAGTGGTAGAGGGTGGAGGCTGCAGTGAGACAAGACTGCATTACTTTACTACTCCAGCCTGGGTGAAAGAGTGAAACTCAATCTCAAAAAAAAAAAAAAAAAAAAAGACAAAGATAAAGAAAATAAGGGAAAGGTAAACCTCAAATGCTAACCACTTCCCCCTCACATGGGCCTTCCCTGATCCTCCTACCCAAAGTGATTGCTCCAGCCTCTAAACTTGCATAGCTGTGTCACTGGTCGGTTTCCATTACCTGTTATTACAAGTCAATGCATTCTTGACAATCACATTTCCTGTTTACTTTCTAACCAGGCATTTGCTTTCAGGAGCAAGTTGAGCCATTCTGATTTTGTTCACTGAAGATATTGTGACAAAGCCTAAATGGAGTTTCAAAACAATCTTTGCACTTGAAACTTCTGGGAACCAGCATATCCTGTCACACTGTATTTAGGCTTGAAACTTTA